TTTAAAACCTTTGAGATTGATTGGGTAACATATGAATACACATGAAGAAGTTTTTTTATCAAGTTTGCTGCGACTCTGTGATGGAATCCAAGGGAAGCACTCAGCATCCAAATGCTTTCAGATTTGCATAGTCAGGTGGCTGCTTGGAAAGGAGTTGATATGGGGAGGAGTTTTAAGTGCTACGAGATGACATTCTGTTGATAAGATTCATGGCTGTTAGAATTGTGTCAGGCCAAAAATTTAAGTGGCAAGTTAGAGATAGCGAAGAGAGATTGAGCTGTATCGAGAATGTGGCAATATTTTCTTTCGGCGAGCCCGTTCTGTTGGGGAGTACATGGACATGAGAGCTGACGTATAATGCCATGTTTGGTTAGAAAATCTTCAAATTGCCGGTTTTGATTTTCCCCTCCGCCATTGGTCCGTAGGATCTTAATATGGGTATTAAATTGCTTTTCAATTTGGTTCTTAAAATTTCTGAAGTGATTTATAGTTTCAGAATTGTGTATCATAGGAAACGCCCTAGTATATCTAGTGGCGTGATCAGTAAAGAGAACATAGAAGTGAAATCCTTGATTTGAAATATCTGTGGAGTAACCCCATACATCAGAACGAACAAGTTCAAGGGGAAGATACTTGTGATTACTAGATCAATAAAATGGTAATCTATATCATTTGGCTGTAGTACATGAATTTACAAAAAGAAATATAGTTTCGAATATGTAAATGTGGATGCTGATATGCTATTAGGTGAAGAACGGTAGTATTGGAATGGTCAAGCCTTTGATGCCAGACTTTGGCGGAAGCAGTTCTTGAGAGTAGAGCTTGCTTTCTGATCGAAATAGGATAGAGTCCTTCACATCAAAGGCCCTGGAGGAGAATTTGCTGAGTATTGCGATCCTTGATTTGATAGCCCAATGCATCAAAAACAATAATGCAACTGTTACCGCTGGCAAATTGGTATATAGAAATTAAATTATGAGTGATTTGTGGAGTGTGAAGGAGTTTGGATAGGAGGAGCTTACAGGTTGGTGTAGAAAGCAAACCTTGACCGCTATTTGCTGACAAACACTTGCTCTTGTCCTTGATAAGGGTCTGAATGTTGTAGTGCCTCGAGGTCGGCTGTGTGGAGGAACCCCATACATCAGAACGAATAAGTTCAAGGGGAAGATACTTGTGATTACTAGATCAATAAAATGGTAATCTATATCATTTGGCTGTAGTACATGAATTTACAAAAAGAAAAATAGATTCGAATATGTAAATGTGGATGCTGATATGCTATTAGGTGAAGAACGGTAGTATTGGAATGGTCAAGCCTTTGATGCCAGACTTTGGCGGAAGCAGTTCTTGAGAGTAGAGCTTGCTTTCTGATCGAAATAGGATAGAGTCCTTCACATCAAAGGCCCTGGAGGAGAATTTGCTGAGTATTGCGATCCTTGATTTGATAGCCCAATGCATCAAAAACAATAATGCAACTGTTACCGCTGGCAAATTGGTATATAGAAATTAAATTATGAGTGATTTGTGGAGTGTGAAGGAGTTTGGATAGGAGGAGCTTACAGGTTGGTGTAGAAAGCAAACCTTGACCGCTATTTGCTGACAAACACTTGCTCTTGTCCTTGATAAGGGTCTGAATGTTGTAGTGCCTCGAGGTCGGCTGTAAGATGATTTGAAGCTCCAGTATCTAAATACCAATCTTGTTTAGCTGCTGAGGAGGTTATGAGTGCAATGTGGCATGCCGGTTGCTTAGGTTGATAGTCAAAATTACCCCTATGCCAGCATTGAGGAGCAAGGTGCCCTGGTTTAAGGCAGATTTCGCAAGTTTCAAAGTTGTTGGATTTCAACTGCTTGTATCTTGTCCCATTTCCTCTGTAATTGAATCGGCCTCTCCCTCTTTGAGAATACAAGGCTGCATAGTTATCTACCTGCAGCTAATTTTCACTGTTTTAGTTCGATAGCTTGATTTCTTCGCTTTGAAGTAGAGAATATAGATCTACGAAGCTGATTGATGATAAAGAAGCTCTGATTGCGGCTTTGAAGGATTGATGCTCAGGAGATAGACTTTTGAGGATATATTGGATTACATCTTTTGTATCTATTGATGAGCCAGAAGCGGATATATTTTCAACTATTACCTTGATTTGCATCAGATATGGGTTCATAGATTGACCTTTCATTGACACCTTATGAAGCTCATTTTTGAGCTGGATGACCTTCGATATGTTGGTACCTTGAAGGCGTTTTTCCAGGGCTGTCCATATGTCATGGCAGCTATCGAGGTTGATGACGTGAGGTAGCACGGTTGCGGAAATTGTGGATAGCATTGCCGCTGCGAGGTTTTGATCCACCAGAAAGATAGGTGCGATTAGGGCATGCGACACTGTCTGCGGCAGTGATGGTCGCAGAGGGTTTGGAGATTGACCAAACTATGAATCCGCCGAATCCATTGGCGTTGATGACTTTTGAGACCTGCGATTTCCATAGAGAATAGTTATCGATGGAGAGAAATGTGTTGACGACAGTTCTGATTTGGATTCGAGAAATTTCAGGGAAGGTGGCATCGGCTGCTCTTCGATCTTTAGGGCTGCTAGGTTGTTGCTGAACACCGAGGAGCTTGAATCATCCATTGGTGCTTTATAGCCACAGCTTTGATACCATATAAGGAAATGTAGGAGATGGAAGAAGAGGAACTCAATAGAACAGCAGCTAAGCTATTTATGTAAATACCCCTTTTCTTAATTCAAATTTCCTATATTCTCTACTATATCCTTACAACAGTTGGTCATTTACCTTTTCCTAAAATGGAAGCTGTAATTGATATGTTTGCTTGGATGCAAAATCATGAGCTTCGTATATGCTTTTTCATATTATTTTCATCCCTTTCCTTCTGGCCACCATAGCTGCGACATCATTTTATAATTATATAATCTTTATAGTCACACCTAATGCCTATCCTTCCATTAATTCCTCTGTAATTTTTCTCAGTTCAATGGAACACAAACCAAGCCCAGACTCTCCGTTTTCTGCTCTACCAGGCAACTATATGCCATGCTTGTTGATGACCATAACAAGAAGACTCTGTTTTATGCCAGCACTTTACAGAACTCCATGCGTGAGGATCCTCCTTGTAGCACCTCAGTATGTTTTACCATTCCACATTTCGACTATATGTGCTGCATGCTTTTATTTTTGGCTTTCTATATTCTAACCCCTTAACAACTCTTATTTGCTGAAAGATTGTTAAATTGAACTTGGTTTATTACTTTCTTTTGCTGTGCTTCGATTAATGAGGTTCATTAGTTCTGGATTTTCAAATTATGTGAGTTACAAATAGTAATTTTGCATTTTTTTTTGTCTTTCTGTGTGCTCAAATGAAGTTATGGTGAATTACTATTAATTGATTGATCTCTTAATTATTTGGGTGTATGTGTAAAAATGACAGGAAGCGGCGCGGAGGGTAGGGGAAGCGCTTGTTCAAGCATGCACAGAGCTGCAAATTTCTGAGATATCATCATACGATCGCAATGGATTCGCTCGCGGAGAAAGGATGCAAGCTTTTGAGGTTGCCATTGCACAATATGGGTTGCTAAGTAGGTGATTGATTAAGGTCTACTAGTTTAAATTTTATGATTAATGGTCAAAGAGTATGATTGTAAGTGAGTGGATGTATCTGTTAAAGGGAGTTTAACTCCTATTATTTTGCGTCCGGAGTTCGGATGTAAAATTTTTGCCTTGTGTAGTGATCATATCTTGATTGAATTTGTATTAGGATTTGACAATTATTAAATTTGTTTTGGGATTAGTATTATATATCAAGTGTGTAGTTGTGCATAATTATCTGAGAGATATCCATAGATTAATATGGTCAAACCAATTGACATATGTAGTAGTTACAGCATGATGTATTTAATAATTGAGTGAACATGTATTTATATACGCCACTTGAATCCATCCAATCAAATCATAAACCTTCATACAATTTAAATCAAGAACTTCTGTAATCCATTTTAGAATTGTAATTTATTTTTTCATAAACTTATAGTAAAATTAAATGCTTTCGTAGGATGAACCTAATGATACTAAAAATGTCTCAAATTGAATCCAAGTGGATTTAAATTAAGTACTTAAAGCATGATTAAAGATTATGAGAGGGTTTGTTATATACTTGTAGTTGAAGTGAGTTTCTTGATAAGATCAATAAATTAATGCTTAAATTACTCACTTTTTTATTAGGGATTTAAGATATTTAAGAAGATAATATATAATAGGGGATCAATAAGAACTATAGGATGGAATTGTTAAGACTTGTTTATTCAAAATGATCAGTGTCCTTTTCTAGAAATCTATGAATATTCATTCTTTCACACATTTGATGGAAGCTGAGATGACACTGCATCTCTGGTGGTTGGGCACGATCTCAAATGACAGGTGGCAACCATCGGTACTTTAAAAGTTAAGATTCTTAGTGTCTTAATGACATCGAATTGAATGATCGTAGGCTTGTTGGATTCTTCTCATCAAGATGCTCAATTTGAATAGAAGCATGTCAAATTTTAAAATTGTTTGAGCTCTAAATTGATTCATCCAAATTTTTAACAATGCTTCAAGTGTTTGATTTAGGCTTATTTGGATTCGAATTTCATCACTCTCGGCATCATTAGGTTTGTCTTGACGCTTAGTTTGGCTATGTTATTGTTGAAATCGAGGCGCGAATGGCTTTAATTTGAATTCAGATATTTCTTACTCAAAATGCTTCGAGATTCGAAGATATTCACCACTAGTCGTCAATATTTCCAATGCTTGACATCATCAATAAGAGGACACCCATTATTTCCAACTTGTTGTAGATTCAATGCCCTGAGAATTATAAGGAAAAAATGTCGTAACTCGATTAATATGAATAATATAGAGTAATGAAAATATTAAAAAAAACCAATATAATAAAAAAAGATAATATACATATATACCACTAAATTTCTATTTATTTAGATATCTAACATCTAAACTTTGAATAGTACATACATGCCACTTTATATATGCATACAAAAAGGTGTATTTTACTTCTCAAAAACTAAAATGGTACTATTTTTAATATAGCAGGAAGGATTTGGTCGGCGTAAATGTAAAAAATTAAAAGTTTAGTTGTTAGATATGTAAATACATAAAATTGGGTGGTATATATGTAAATGGCCCAAAAATGTAAGTAACTGGCAACATTTTTGCTATCATATAATTTCTATTTTACGAAATCAGACACCAAATCGTTCTGGCGCAGTTGCCGAGTAGATCTCATGACTTAGAGGAGGTCAAGAGTTCGAATCCCTCCTTAAAAGGACTAAAAAGAGCAATGACGAAATTGCCCAGCGATGGTTGGATTTCCATCTCTGTCATCAATTATCGATGACAAGGGTTTAAACCGAGCTCACATATTTTTTTAATCGCTTAATTAAAGATTTTCTAACAAAATAACATAAGTTAGTGGGAAAAATCATTAGCATAGATTTTAATTTCTTTAATGTATAATTTTCTTATGTTTTATTTATTTTTTGAATGGAAAAAGATTTCTTTGTATGCATGGTAATATATTCTTGATTTATAATTTAATTTGATTTTGTTTCTTAATTATTTTCAAGTGGGATTAATTGTTTCATTCTTTGCTAACATAAATATAGTTTTGTAATTGAAATTAGGAGCCCTTTCAAATAAATCTTACTCCTTCTAAATTTAATATATTATACATTTATCTTTACTCTTTCAAATAAATAAGTTAAATTACTATTTTGCATTTTTTTTTTCAAATTCTTGTTAATAAATAATATTTTCACTGAAATCTTAAAAAATTCAAACTTTTTCCATCCAATTCCACCACCATTATATATAAGTTTGTGATTGAGATGTTAGTAAAGGTATTATTTAACATGCTAGTTCGGTCAAAACCAAAATCAAATCAAACTGAGTTTGTTTTGTTGATTTCATTTAATTTTAAAAGAGTCATTCAATTTTTTCTTTTAAAATTTTGAATATTTAATTTTTCAATCGGTTTTATTTTGTATTAAACCAAACAAATAAATAATGGATTAATAATAGTATTAGAAAATTAAATTTATTTGAGAGAAAAATAACTTGAGTATATGGTATGTTTATTTTAGTTTAGTTTGTGTTAAAAACTTTTAGGCTGTTTCATATTTTATAAATTCAACAACTCAGAAGAGAATTTGCGATATGAGTAGAGGAGGTGAAAATAAAGATTTCTACCCCTTTCTATTTATGTTTATGTGCCTCGTAGTGTGTCTTTACCCATATAGGGCTACAAAAAAAAGTAAGAACTAAGGAAATACTATATTATAGTCCGTACTATACTACTATATTGGA